ATGTCTTTTTGTAGTATAGTACATAGTGGTTTTCTGTCTATTCTGGTTCTTGTTTATCTAGCACAGAATCATTGTTTCATTTGGTCCCTGCTAGCAGTTTGCCTGACTTTTTGGGCCAGAAATTATTTTTTTTTCCTGCCTTGGGGAAAATGTGGAAAGCAATTTCGCTAGATTCAGGAAGCAAACTGACTTTTATGATTTGGTATTAAATGCATTTTTCTTTAGCTTTGCACATTCTTAGCTCTCTTTTAGCAGAACCATTCAAATGATCGGCTTGCTGTGTCTCTCTGAGGGAAGGACATAGCCGTGTAGCTTCATGGACTTTCATTTCTAATCTCCAGCAGACTAAAGAAGATAGCAAGAGAGTCACACACGTACTTAGGTGTGCCTGCTGACTGATGTGCTCTTCAGAATGATGTATGTATTGGATGCTTTTGAATCTGTGATTTGTGGATCTCGAATCCTTTGAAACAAGGGCTGACAAGGCAAGGCTGTGGCACAAAGCCTCATTGTGAGTGTCTCAAGGATAATGGGGTTGTCTCAGCTGAGCGGAGTCCTTAATATTAATTTTCTTTGCTTTATTTTCCAATACATTAAAAAACTTATTTTGCCTAATATATTAGCATTCATTTATAGGCTTTGAAAACTAATCCTACTTTGAAAGGAGAGTTTTAAATTTGAAATATGAGGTCTATATAGCGGTGCCTTGAAATCATTAACTGTCCCTTCAATATTAATTGCAGGTATATCCATCATGGGGAACTTGTTTGTCAGTAACGTGAGGGGGATGCAAAAGCAAGTGCTCCTGGAACCCCTCCAGGGGTAATGCTGTCACTCAAAACTTTGTTCTGGAATCGATCCGACCTCAGAAATGGGCTGTACCTATTGACAAAGTGACAGTTCGTAGTTTTAACAAAGCTGAGTGGCAGTTTTAGCAAATAGAATGGGAGTTGGTTTGTGGATGAATCTGCCAGGCAGCTTTGACCCTGAACAAAGCCTTTACAGATGACTTTGATGAGCTTGAGGAGTCAAAGGGCAAGGCAAGTTGGGATCAGTGTTTAATTACATGGTTCTGCCAACGATAGAGTCTACCGGCAGGGCAGCCCACCTCTCATAGGCTTTGACCTGCTTGCAAGAGGTGGCATTTGTCTTGCTTGCATTTTTGGCTAAAAGAACATTAATTTATTTATATAATGCACACAGCTTTTTACACTTGAACACAGCCATCCTCTCCCCAAGCGCTGCTGTGGGTTTTCTCCTTATTGACTTATGTGTTATTGATTCCGGTTGGGGCTGATGCCTTCTCACTTTTTGCTCTTATTCAGCTATTTTGCCTGTTAAGTTCTAATCTGGGTCTAAAACATTTTCCAATAAAGGCAAAGCTTGTGTGTCCTCCCTTTGGAAGGGAAGTTAGGCCCACAGAGGCCTCTGGGGGTATTTCCAATCAAAGGGCTTTGCCTTCACCAAGGAGCGAGTTCCTTCACTCTGGAAACATCTCCTGAAATTCCTGAGGAGGACAGTCCAGAAGTGAGCAGATCTTTTTGTTTCTGACTCGGGCTACTCTGGTTTCCTCCAGCATTATCATCTTCCTGGTACAGAGGGAGGAAAGAGACAGGGCTGCGTTCTTCCTGAGTGCTGGTAGAATTGCTCTGCCTTCAACTCCCTTCCGGTCTCTTTGATGATACCAGGAGTTTTCTATACAGTCTAGCTATGGGACTATCCAGTTCACTTTTACTCTGCAATAAATGCAGTCCAACAAATACCTATTGAGTGCCAGCTCTGTAAAATTACCATGGAAACCCAAGTGAAATCTTGAAAACACCCTGAGGAAATTGCTCAGACTTTCCCCATCTTCTTGGCACGTCAGGGAGCAGGGAGAGTGCATCTCAGTCCAAGCCATGCTTGCTTACATTCAGCCCAGACAGCAGAAAGGGGAAAACCTGCAAAGCCGATAATATGGCCTTTTGTCCTGGGTAGCGTGATGCTGAGCTCCTAGGGAGAAGAGGGCCGAGCCAGGGCTTTGATTTCTGTTGGAGAAAAGAGCTGAGCTGGGTTACAGCATCCTCCCTGATGGTGTCATCGCCCACACGCTCTGTACGAGGGCAGGACCTACAAAGGGATGTCTGAGTGCCTGGTGACAGGCTCGTCTCAGCACCTTGCAGCGCAGCAGGGGCTGAAGGCTTCAGGAGATCAAAGCCTCGATTATGTGAGGCACTCGTCACACAGCAGGAGCTGGCTCATCCCTGACACGGGGCTGGAAACCACAGGATGACGGTCCTGACCCAGGGCGTGGAGGAACCAGGGGCCTCGTGGCGTTTGATCTTAAGACAGTAGCTCCAGCTGTACTTGGCAAAGTTCTGACTTAGAAAAGTGAAAGATGGGGCTTTGGCTTTTAAGATCATTGAGCTGGTCATAAATCTTTGGTTTGCAGGTGACCCTCTCCACTCCTCCCTGAAATAAAACTGGCTTAAATCATGAAGGAAATGTACTGGGTCAGTTAATACAGAAGACTGGAAGTAAGTTAAGGGGAGGCTTTCCCAGGAACCAAGTGATGTCACCAAGGACATAGTTTCTTTCCTAAATCGCTCCCAGCCATTTTCAGGACTGCACGCTTCCTCCTCCCCCAGACATCCCAAAAATCTGCCTTGATTTTTCCAGCAGTCCCCAAGACTCACCCTGTGTAGACTGGTGTGCATTATGTGACTGTCCCTAAACTAATCCCTGGTGGACAGAAGGAGCTCATAAACTCTCTGTAGGGCACAGTTAGGTTTTGGGGGCCAAATGGAGACCAGGAGCTCTTTAAGGGAGATTGATTTAGGCAGACAAACAACAAATATTCGTTACAGTTTGTAAAGGATGTGACTCGAATTTGTCCATATCTTCACCTGGTAGTGTCTATTCACAGATAATTACAATCACAATTTAGATTGGTAAATGTCAGCATCTATCACTTACTTCAAAATTTACCAGTAGATCTCAAAGAAGCCACTGTGTGCCCTTCCTGTGAACTGTATTATGTAACCCTCATGCAACCCCTGAGACCGGCACCAGTCTCCTTACTCAGGTAGAGACACCATGGAGAAGCGAGGTGGCTTGCTTCAGGTCACAAAGGCAGTCAGCAGTAGAGCCCAGGTCTGTGACTCCAGAGTCCCTGCATTTAAAGTCACCCCGCCTTGATCGATGATGACATCCCAGGTCATGTCCCTTGGAAAAGCTGAACAAGTCACCATACCCAAGTGATTGTGTTACAGATAGTACAGGATTTTCCACCAAGAAGATGGGAGTCTTTTTATGCACCCTCAAGGTTTGGGGAGAAGGGCTCCATAAGTTTGTTGGTTTTAAGCCTGGCCTTGCCCCTAGCTTGCCCTCCAACACTGCTTTCTCACCTTCTGCAGGTTCTTAACCGCCTCACTTGGTGACCGGGAGCTCAAACTGCCTGGTCTCTGACACTTTACCTCAGCTGGCCCAGGCCTTCCTCAGTCTGAGCTGTACTTTTTTTTTTTTGGCTCTGGGGAGGCAGGAGGGATTTCATGCTCTGATCTGTTTCTTCCTGTGAGAGTTGACTCTTTACTAGACTTCTTGTTTTGCACCCAAATAAAAGGAATATTCAAACATTTTCTTTGTTAATCGCAGAGGATCTAAAAGCAGTAAACAAATCATGCTGGAGGAAGACTTTCCAGTGGGATGATAAATCCTCTTGTTGTGTGTGTCGCCTTTCAGGCTGTGGCTTGTGATCTTCTCTGTGTGTGCTCCTGTCATCTAGGCGGGTGCTCTGCCTGAATAGTCCGTTCTATCAGGCACGTTGTTCCTGCAGGGCCACTGCAGAGCCCACGTGGCTTCCACTTCCCAGGGTCAGCTGGATGAGGAAACAGGAGTCCACAGCACTGATACGTTAACCCTTTAGGAGGGCCACACAATGCAATGCTGTGTTCATGTTTACCTTTTGTAGGATGTGGAGCAGAGGTGCATGCATCAGTCCATTGGACACCCAGGAACTGGACACCCAGGTGTTGCGGGGGCAGCTTGAGCCCTAGCTTTCCCACCTGGGACAGGGGACCTCTCTGGGCTCCTAGGCCTGTCCGGACCCTGCTGTCCATTATGTAATGTGGTGGGTGCTGTTGGTGCCTGTCCCAAGCCCATTCCTGCCAGGGTCCTGTAGGAATTGCCCCTTTGGAAGCTGGCATTCAATCCAGCTATCTTCCTCACCTTCAGTGGGGGGACAGTGCAGAGCCAGTGAGTAACTGACAAGGGGGGTCCAGGCCACTCGCCTCACCTCGAGGTGGGCCCACTCGGTGTGGGTAGTTTGTGCTTCATCGCTCGCCCAGAATCAAGGTGGGACCTGATGCTTTCTTGCTTCTTGTCCACACTTCCTGCTTCCTCATGCCTTTTTCTGCAGAATGCTTGCCAAGTAAACTACATGAACACAAACCCCTGCTTTACGTCCTGTTTGTATGGGATCTAACCTAATGCGCATAACCATTGTTCCCAGGATCATGTCAGCCACGAAGGCTTATCTGGACCTGCTGATGGGGAGGAGAGAGGTGGTTTCCGTTCACCTCAGTCATGCCAGTGCATTCTCCTTCCTAGCCTTCTCTCTTTCCTTCTTTGCTATTCCATGTGTTTTTGATGTACCCAGCAACCCATCCGTTCACCCGCCCACCTACCTTTCTCCCCATCCATTCATCCAGAGACCGATCTTCAGACTCTTCCATGTGACCGAAATGCTGAGATACACAGATTCTTCCCAGATGGACACAGCTGGACCTCACCCAGCTCTCCAAGGCTGGGTTGGCTGCCACTACTTCCGGCCCAGAGTACCCACTCACCCAGTGTGGGCGACGGCTTCGTTGACCCGGCACTGACTTACCTTGAGTTCACTGTGTTTCATAAGTGTGGTTTCTTAGAGCCTCACTGCCTGGCTCCTGGGCGCTAGCAGAAACAGGCCAAAGGTGTTTTTCACTTATAAGTGGTGTAGGAAAAATTGAGGTGAATTCCCCGGCTGTCGTGTGAGTGCTTTATTGATTACGGAGAGCCAATCAAATTAGTTGTCAGAAGAGAATGCAGATGGCACCATGTGGAATGGATTTTCTATAACCCTAATTGCATTATTTCAATCAGCAGGTGAACACTGCATGGCTTGCGGTAGGGTTGGGGAGGGAGGGCTGGGGCAGGTTGGCACACTGTCTGGGCCAGACTGAGGAGGTGGCTTAGAGTGTCATGTGCATTTTCATATCAAGATCAAGGCATTAACAAAATGAGTCTGGCTTGCATTATGGATTGAATGCCAGGAAGGGAGGCCTTTCGTCGTAAGCTTAGAGGAGAGAATGCCTCTTCTACCCTCGGAGTCCGGAGATGGGTCAATCCCAGGTAGAAACAGATTGAAACAGCCCCCTTTCTCCTTTCAAAGGCATTGTGTGGCTAAGAGCTGCGCATGGTGGCAAATACCTATAATGCCAGCACTTCTGAGATCAAAAGTTCAAGCCCAGCCCAGATAAGTGACTTAGTGAGACTCTGTCTCAAAGTAAAAAATTAAAAAAGGGTTGGGGATGTAGCTAAGTGCAAATGATGTAGGGGGATGAAAGTCCCAACCTCCTGTATGTCCGGTACGAGTTCATGTTCTTTAAAACCAAAGGATGAATTTTAGAAACAATGGAGGTTAAGAGCAGAATATACTGATTGAAAGAAAGGAAGGTTCTGTCTGAGAGAGACAGAAGGGGCCCCGAGCTGGTCACCAGAGATTCTGCCTTTTCCAGGGAGTTTTACAGAGTAAAATCATGGGGTGAGACGGATTCAAGGTGGGGAAAACGGGGAACTCCCAAGGCAGATGGGCGTAAGGTGGGGCAGAGCTATAGTTAACCAATAAGGTTAACTGTTCAGGTACAATTGATTAAATTAAGAAAAAATGGGGAAGAGAGTCATGTAGAAAGCAGGCATTCTTAGGGAGCAGGGACTCTTCCAGCCGGGGGTTGGGATGGTGACTCCTGATTTCCTCAGAGTGGTGGAGACTAGTTAGAATATCAGTCCTTAGGATGTGGGTGCATTTGTTTGATCTTTTGTCTTGAGGCCTGACCCACAGAAGGAGGTGTCTGTCTCCCCACAGTTGCAAGGTACCTGGGCACAGTTGCAAGGCACTGGCTCCTTGGAGGACCTAGCCCTGTCTGACTGCCTAGAGTATTTCTAACTAACTCAGCTGCCTGTAACACGAAGACTTTTGGTACCAGGAAGAAAAGAAAAGAAAGGGAAAAAAAGAAAAATTTCTGTTCTTTACCAGCTGTATACTCTCCGAGTCTTGGTTTCCTCATTCGGAAAATGAAGATACTTAGGGTACCTTTGTCACAGCAGAAAGACTGATTATGTGGATGAAAGGAGGAGATATTAAGAGAGATCATGCATAGAGGGTGTTTAGCGTTCTGCCTGGCGCAGTGTGTGTGGTCTTTCTGGCCACACTGCGCTCAGTTGGTGGTGACAGTTTTTCCTGCCTGCCTTCCTCTGAGCACCTGGAAGGCTGAGAAGGGCTCCCAGGTTAGGTCGCAGGATGGCTGGGTTGGTGATGGAGCAAAAGCCAACCATATAATTTCTGCTCTTCTCAGAAATTCTCTTGCCAGGGTGGGTGAAGTTTGGGTTTAGCTTCTTTTCTGATTGGGCCGGGCAGACATGGAGCTCTTCCTAGAGACTAGCTGAGCCGAGCTTCTGTTCTCCGCTGGACGTGAGGCTGCTTTCGCAGCTGTTGCTCACCTACCACTCCCCTGCTCGCTCCCCAGCTCCCCAGTGCCTGCCAGCAGGCTCAGTTCCACGGGGAGCCCAGGCCTGCGCCATCACAAAACCACTTAACATTTTTAAAGAAATCAAAGGCTTCACTGGTTTCTTAAACTTTGTGTGGCAGATTTTTGGATGATCCTCAACACAGCGTGTGATCATTTACAGTTCTCCCTCTGGGTTAGAGTTCTCTGTAACTGAGAGTGCAGTCTAATAGGAAGCGGGGTTTGGTACACAGTAAAAATGGCAGGTGCTTTGTAGGCAGCTGAGCAGCCGTGCTGTTGCCTGGCAGCTGCGGGTTCTGAGGGCACAGCTGCCTCTTCCCTGTGGTGGTGCTGGCTAAAGGCAGCCGATCAATAAACACCAACCTCATGATGCCCGCGGCAGCAACTTCTTCCTTCCCTGGGGCTGCTGCGGCCTGCACTGAGATCCCCCACGAAGTCCTGGACCAAAGGAGCAGGGTGAGAGTGAGGAGGAAGGTGCGTGGGACCAGTGGGCCCCCAGCCAAGGCTCCCTTTGTCATGGGTGGCCTGGGATGGTATCTGTGACTCCTGTATACCAGGCCTGCCTCTCTGGGATCTTTTGGCTCTCCACATTTTGGTCACTTTCTTCTTTCAATGGCAAAATCCTTCTTTCCTCTCCCAGCTCCAGCTGAGCACATGTTCCTATTTCATACAAGTGCATTCCCTGCTTAAGAAGAAAGAAGGTCACAGCTGGGGATTTAGCTCAGGGGCATAAGCGCCTGCCTGGCAAGCCTGAGGTTGTAAGTTCGATCCCTAGTGCAAAAGAAAGAAAGAAAGAAAGAAAGAAAGAAAGAAAGAAGGTAGCATGGCATAGACAGGTGCAAGACAGCATCGGGGCCCACCCTACCTGTAGGTCCTTTGGGGTAGAAAGAGCAGCTCTCATCTCCACCACCATGGCCGAGCAGAGGAGGAGGGAAGGCAAGCCTATTCAAGGCGACAGCCTGATTCCTGTGACCCAACCTTAGCCTCTGGGAACATGTCCAGGTCCTGGGAGGAGAGAGAGAGGCTCAGCTTACCTATTCCATGCCCCTCACAAGTGGAGGCCAAGGTCTGGGATACCAAATGATCTTAGAGGAAATAAGCGAGCCCCAGTAAGTTCACGGTTCAGAGTACTGAACTCTTCAAAGAGAAAACTCCAAGGAAATCTAATTAGGAAGCCTGTAATCCAATAAGTGTCTGTGCTCTGGGGCTGTGTGAGGGAGGAGTGGGAAGGAGAGGGGAGAGAAAAGCTGGGGAGGGACCTTGGTGTTTTTACTTACTTCTAGCGTGGCAGGAGCCCTCGGTGAGGGCAGCCTGGCTGGGATGCTGATGAAAGGCTTCTGTTGAGGGAACCAGAGACAGGGTGAGCCCTGGTGAGAGCCATCTGGTTGTTCTAAGCCTGGAGAGATGCAGGCACTGCCGAGGAAGGCTCCTGGGGTGGCCCCACCCCACCCTCCTACGCACAGTGAAATCCTGAGTTCTCCGTGGTAGAATCCTGACTTCTCCCACGGTCAGCCTCTCACTTGTTTGGATCTGTGATCAACACTGACAAGACTGGTGTCCATCTGCAAATGTATTTTCTGTTACTCTGCAGGAGCCAAGCCGCAGATTAGATATAAACAGGTTGCAGGGACTGGTCGGCAGGATGGGGAAGAACAAATGCATGAGCTTTGCCCTCTCCAGCACTCTCCTGCCCTCCGTAGCATTCAGAGACCTCCAGCACCTGGTGTCTGGACGGTGGTGCGGTGGGTAGCGAGAGGGGTCACCAGGAATACATGATGGATAACTGAAGCACCAGGATTACAAAACAGTTTAGTTTTTCCCAGATTATCAGACTTAAGGTTGTAGTTTAGCTTTCGTTCTTGCTCGCTGTTTTGATGGAAGATGAGGGGCAACAGGATGGGAAGCGCTGGGGGAGCTGCATGTGTCCCGATCCCTCTATCTGAGCCCATGCTCCAGAGCTTAGAGTGACTTGTGCCTATGTTTCTTGTCCAGTGCAGCTTTTGAAATTTCGGGGGAGGATGGTGGCGGATAGAGAAACAAAAACAAGCGTGGAATGCTGAAAGCTGAGGTCTGGTGGAGCCTCTCTCCTAGTGGATGAAAAGGAACTGCCCAATGTCTATTTATACACTCAGCAAGCGGTTGAGGACAGGTGACACCCCTCTCCTAAGGGGAGAGAGGGCCTGCCTAACAGTGGGTCTGACTCACCTTGTGTGCTGGGGCTGGCCTTGCTTTAGTCCCGCTCAGCCACTCCCTACGCATGTGAACCCTACTGAAATCAAAGTAATAACTGGCGCCCTGAACTCAGTAAGCAATCTCCTAAGAGCCCTTCTTGCATTTAGTCTTGCTTCCTCCCATTCCTCCCTCCACACTGAAGGTCAAAATATTTTTCTAGAATATAACTGAGTGCAGCTCTGATAGTTTCCTTTTTTCAAAGGGCAGGGCTCCTTGGAGGACCCCTTGGCATGGAATGTAGGCCTTGTGCAGTTGGTTCCTGGTCCTCTCCAAGCGCCGCCCAGTCCTGCCCTGTTGGCACCCGAAGGTGTGCAGGTGGAGTGTAGGAGGCACACAGCTCCTCCCACCCCTTGTCTTTCTGTGCATTTGCACCACAGAGGCTGTGGACTTGTCTGGCGAGTCGAATAATTGGTGGTGGAGAAGTGATTCCAGATGATTCATTTTGTTTATTCTCTTGCCCTAGGAAAGCTGAAGCACTGGGGCAAGTCTTCAGGAAACAGCGCCCTGATCTTTAGGATGTTACAAACTGTGGGCTTTTCAAATAAAGTCCACACTGTGGTGAAGAGGTAGAGGGCTGCTTCTTTGTCAAGGCCGCACCTTACTTATGAGATGGCACACGGGCACTGATGGCCTTCTTACTGCTGTAATTGCAAAGAAACCCTCATGTGCTTGCTGATACATGCTGAGCCCCTCTAATTCGAAAAGCCCCCCAAATTTGAAAATTTTTAGCATCAACATAACACCACAAGTCGAAGATTCCACATCTGTTTCATGCACAAAATTGTTTTAAAATAGTGTGGAATTATCTTCAGACTGTGTGCATAAGGCATATGTGGAATGCAAATGAATTTCATGGTTAGACTTGGGTTTGGTCCCCAAAATATCTTCTTATGTATATGCAAGTTTGCAAAATCTGAAAACAATCTGAAATCTGAATCACTGCTTGCTCCAAGAACTTCTGATAAGGGATAATCAGCCTACCGAATGTGACTCAGAAACACATTTGAAATGGCCAAAGTTAGGGGTACGTATGTAGCTCAGTGGCAGAGTGCTTGCCCAGCATGTGTAATGCTCTGGGAAAATAAGGCACAGGTAATAAGAGAAAGGCATGTATTTTGGTAAAGGAAAATGACAGAAAGAAAAAACAAATCTGATGTGGAGTACAGTGTGGCCTTTTCCTTCTAAACATGTTAACTGTGGGATGGGATCAGGCATGAGGTATTTCTGGGCTTTGCCAGGAGTCACATTCTGATGGATATTTGTGAAGAGAGACTTGCCTTTCATACTGCAAGGTATGTCAGGAAGGAAGGAGGTCATGGGGGCCCTTCTTCATATGAAACTAACAGGCCCACCCACACTGGTTACCTACAAAGGTCATTAGCAAGTGTGCAGGTCACTGTCCTTGAATGCAGAGGAGTCCGTGAGGACTACAGTGACAGATATGAAGGCTGAGAGTGGAAATCTTGACACACGGGGAACTAGGGCCCTTAGAGAAGGAGCAGAGCAGATGAAATACAAGATAGCAAGATACGATAGAAGAAAACAGTAAGCTGGAGAAGACGTGGGCATGGACCTTGAAAGGGGCTACCATGCTCCAGGCACAGCAGGAAAATGAAATCAGTATCCGGCTACAGCCTCACCACTTTTGAAAACAGTTTTAGTATGAAAAATTCAAACATATAAGACAAGAAAGTACGGTATGTCTCCCCTCCTCATGTGCCTGTCACCAGATAGGTCACTGAAATGCTCCCGCGTTTGCCCTTTTCTCCTCTTGTTCTTTCTTTTTCTTCTTTCCTTTTGCTTTAATTTTCACTATTGTGTTTTAAATCAAGTCTCACATATCATATTACACCTTTTGTATATCTGGAGTACATCCCTAAAAAGTGGGTATTTTTCTCATATCTACAATACTACTATCATACTAAATATAGTTATTTGGTATATAATTGTCATTTATTATATTTGGAATAATACTGAGCCATAAGTCAGTTTTCCTGAACATTTAAAAAGAAAGACCATGGCTATACCACCCTGAACATGCCCAGTCTTGTCTGAATGTTTACAAAATGCCTTTATAATTGGTTTGTCTTTGTCACCATGCAAACAGAATTCATATATGTGATTTCTTTGGTTGTTTTACAGTATGTGCTCATATTCTTAAAAAAATTCCTCCTTTCAAACAATGAAGATTAAACTTACTCTCCAAAATCTAGGCTAGATTTAATGACTTGCTCTTAACAAAGAATGGTTCAGAAATAAGATGAGTACATGGGTGCCAAGGCTGGGTCACCCAAGCCATTGTTTTCTCACCTCATGGTCTTCTGTGAGAGGACCAGTTGCCCATGTCCAGGCCATTCAAGCAGTCCATGTAAAAGTCCACTTTGGGAGGCACTGAGGACTCTTGCCTCAACCAGTATCAGCTCACCAGTCATGAGAGAGAGAGTCCACCCAGAAGAGTGTCTTAACACTCATCAATGTTTGGGTGAATCTGAACCCTAGCTCACACCTTCACTGTAACTTCATGATGGAGCTGAACCACAACCACCCCGCTAACCTATCTCTGAATTCTTGGCCCAGGAATTGTGAGATTGTAGCTTCATGGTTGTTTTAAGCCATTACAGTTTGGGGTAATTTGTTATGTGCTGATCGATAAAGAAAAGAATTATAATTTTTCTAAAGTCTCTTTTAATGTAGGGCTCATTACCATTGTATTTCTATTTTTGTCATGTTTTATAAACTGAGTCATTTCACAAAATGTCCACCATCAGTATTTGTCTGTCAGCTTCCCTGTGGTGTCCTTTAACTTGCTCTTCTGTCCTCCAAATAGAAGTCAGTTCAGAACTTTGATTTGGGTTCAGTATTTTTGGCAAGAGTGCTCCATAGATTTGTACTTGTGTGTGCATTTATGACCATCACAAGGTGTATCACCTTCCAGCAGTGCTAGGGCTAACCAGTAGGGTCTGGTGGTCTGGCAGCATTTTTAGATTTCAAGAATGCAAGAGAAAAGTCCTATATACCATCATGCCATCATAAAGAATAAATTACACACTGTGGGAGCCAGATCAGAGAGAGATGACCAATGAAGCTGGTTTTCTACAACAGAATGCCTGATTATGACATACAGACATTCATAAATTACACCAACTGCAGAGACTTCTTGAGGAAAAAAGCCCTAAGGATGTGTATAGATTATCCATACAGCATTTGTTAATACAGGGCATATCTGAGAATCCCTCGTGTATCCAGGCACTATGGTAGGTAGAGCCAAGCTGTCTGGGAAGGAATGAAATTAAGCACTTGAACACAGAGAAGCCACACATGGAATGCAGGGCCAAGTGGTGAACTCCACCAGTGACACAGACTGAAAAGTCAGGGCCACCTTCATCAATCTGCTCCGGAGCCCTGTAGGTCTGGCCATTATTCCGAGGCAGCTTGAGTGGCTCCTCCTGCACAGCCATCTGAGTGGAGGTGGGGATGGGACGTTCACAGACCCCTGGGCTGTGGGCTGAGGGGATGAGAAGAGCACCATCGGGCAAAGCGCAGGCTCGGTAGCTGAGAGGCAGCTCAAAGTGAGGGGCTGATCCTAAGCTAGCAAGGAAAAGAGCTCAGGCTGTGCAAGGGATGCCTGCAGCACTGGTGAGGCGGGGCGGTTTTGCTGGCAGGAGTTGGAGAACAGTCTGCTGATGGATGAATCTTCAAGTTTCTTGCCTTCTTCTTGGGATTGGACTTTGGATGTGAAGGGGCATTAAAGGAGCCTTGGAGATGAGCGTCACAGATGTGCAGGGAGCAAAAGAGGAGTCCTCTTGTAGCCCCCTGGTTCTGCCCAGTGTCTCTTCTGCTGGGAGGATTGCCCCGTGTAAGCCCATCTTCCCCTGGGCCCACGGTGCAGGTCCAGCAGCCGCTGTCAGTGCACACGTCCCAGTTGGCAGCCTTGACAGTGACCCATTCTCTGCCTCTCACTCTAACAATCATGTCCAGGGTGGGGGGCTGTACACCTTGTGGCAGAGGGTTTCCTGCCCCATGAGGCTGCTGCAGGCCTGTGTACTGTGTAATGGTGCCTGGCTTTGGATGGACTCAGGGTCCAACATCAGGTGCTCGGTGAGAAGCAGACAGGTGGGCTCACCCAGCACCACTGCCAGGTGGAGGTTAGGGCTGCTTATCAGACAGTGCCTGGC